TAACAGGAAGACGAGCTGTGAAACCGAGAGTTTAGAGCAGTCTGCAGCCCGAGCTTTGGCTCACAGAGAAGACTTGCACACTGACCTTATTATCTGAAGTATGGTCATGTTTAACATGAGCCTTCACTGCTGGAGCAGAGATACGAGACTGAAAATAAGGAAAACTCATGTTTATTTATACAGCAGGAAAGATCCACGGTAAGACGCGCAGCTCATGTTTTTCCACTGTGGCTTGGTGTGAAGTCACAAGCAGCTGAAGTAGTCTAACTGGTCCGGATCTTCAAACTGAGCTGAAGTATATCGATTGAACTATTTTCATGTCCTTTTTCACTTTAAACCTGAGCTGTCGTTACTTTCTATTAGATGGAGAGCTGGAGGTTCTCCGTGCTGTAACACAGAGGTCAAAGGTGAACAGAGCAGGTATTTGTGACAGGTGACCAACAACAGCCGCAGACAGAGTGTTATTTTTACCAGCCAAACTAGAAACGACTGGCTAAGCCAATGAACTTATCAGGAAAGTCATTTCCGCCATCTATTCAGCAAGTGCCGGTGTCGCCCCCTGTTGGCACTGACACAGAATGAAGGTGGACAACACAGGATGTGATGTCAGCGGGTTAGCGTGGGGCTGCACGGGGCTCCACGACAAAATGTCAGAAGATGAGGCTGATAGTACTTTAGTCACCGCTTTCAGTTTCTGTATGTATACGCATGGATCGATGAGGACCTGCAGTTTTGGGAGCCTCGTCGCCACCATGAGAAGAATCCAACCGTTCACCTTCTGACAGGCTGAAATTCCCCGACTACACACAACATTTGTACTATTTTCAAGTGAGTTGCTGCCACAGGATAAACTTTTGTGTTGTGACCTGTGGCTCTATCTGGATCACATTCCAATCTAACTTTGAAAAATGTTTTGACTCCCTGCCTTCTTTGAGTGTTAGGTTACACCCGACGTTCCTTATTCCACATGGCCTGGGAAACCTGCACAGTTCAGGAAGAGCTGAGGATCTAAAAGAGCGGTGTGCTCTGGATCCTCTGAATTGCGATCTGAAAGGAAAAGCTCTATGCTACTTTAATAAATAAATAATTTTTTTTTTAATTTTTAAAGCACCTTTCTAGACAGAATCACAAAGTTCTGCACATAATAATACTTCTGATTAGGCTTCCTCAGGTTTTTCCTCAAAGCACAAAAAGAGATAAAGCTGCAAATGTTTCTGCTTCAATTATCTTACAGATTTATCATCCTTTGTAAAATGCATGTTTGCGATTGGTCAGATGCTGCACCTCCATCAGGTGAGCATCAGTGAGGTGCTGATGGGGAAAGATATCATAGGCATGCTGAGCTTCCTCTGATGCACCACCCCCGGGGCATCAGTCTGATCTAGCGTTCATGCAGTAAGGCAGCATGCGTGTTATTTTGGTTCGCCATCTCACCAGGTTCACTTGGATGGTCTTCTCCCAGTCCTTTTCGTTGGTGATGCCGGCGTTGTTGATGACGATGTCCAGATGGCCAAATTGGTCCACGGTGTTCTGGAAGGTGTCTGTTCCACAGAGACAAGAAATCAAAATGGGGTGATTTCAGACGCTAATACAGGAACTTCTAAAAACATCAATGACAAGCTCCCATCAGAATGTAAACAGGGTTTCACTCATTAAGACTGCACTCGCTGTTATAACAGAGCCTCATTACCATCGTAGCACCATGTAGTTTACACTTTAATCTGCTTCATCGTTCTCAACACGCCAAACTTATCCGAGCTACTACCAAGAACTCTGGAAGTGTCCGGACCCTCGCTGTCTGGCTGTTCAGCCGAACTGATGCTGATCATCAAGCAAGAAAGGCCAATCATCATGGAGCTGACCAAGAAGGGCCAATCATCATGGAGCTGACCAAGAAGAGCCAATCGTCATGGAGCTGACCAAGAAGAGCCAATCGTCATGGAGATGACCAAGAAGGCCAATCGTCATGGAGCTGACCAAGAAGGGCCAATCGTCATGGAGATGAACCAAGAAGAGCCAATCGTCATGGAGCTGACCAAGAAGGCCAATCGTCATGGAGATGACCAAGAAGAGCCAATCGTCATGGAGCTGACCAAGAAGAGCCAATCGTCATGGAGATGACCAAGAAGAGCCAATCGTCATGGAGCTGACCAAGAAGGGCCAATCGTCATGGAGATAACAAGAAGGCCAATCGTCATGGAGCTGACCAAGAAGGGCCAATCGTCATGGAGCTGACCAAGAAGGCCAATCGTCATGGAGCTGACCAAGAAGGGCCAATCGTCATGGAGATAACCAAGAAGAGCCAATCGTCATGGAGATAACCAAGAAGAGCCAATCGTCATGGAGATGACCAAGAAGGCCAATCGTCATGGAGATGACCAAAGAGGCCAATCGTCTATAGAGCTGACCAAGAAGGGCCAATCGTCATGGAGCTGACCAAGAAGGGCCAATCGTCATGGAGATAGACCAATCGCATAGTACGAGCCAATCGTCATGGAGAAAGGAGTCGATGACGACCAAGAAGAGCCAATCGTCATGGAGCTGACCAAGAAGGGCCAATCGTCATGGAGCTGACCAAGAAGGGCCAATCGTCATGGAGACTGACAAGAAGGCCAATGTATGAGATGACCAAAAGGCATCGTCATGGAGCTGACCAAGAAGAGCCAATCGTCATGGAGCTGACCAAGAAGGGCCAATCGTCATGGAGATGACCAAGAAGAGCCAATCATCATGGACCTGACCAAGCTAAACTTTCCAGATCGCCCACATGAGATATGTATCCTCCATTCTGGGTCTACCTACATGTGCTGGTTTTGTTTTGGTATCAAGCATACTAGGTTTGACATTAAGCACCCCCCAGCTGACCTCTGTGCTGACCTCTTCTACCTCGGGGTGTCCAAGGACCGGGTTGTCTGGGGTAGCAGCAGCCGTTGGTGTTGTGTATTACTGTACAATAAAAAGTACTTCGAGGCGATGAAACTGAATTAAAAGTGAAATGCTGAGGAGGAAGTCAGTCTCAGGACCAGAGCCAGACTCCAAGCCAAAACAAACAACCTCCAGCTGGAAAACTCGTCCACATTTCCAGTTGGCTGTGATGTCATGAGCAGCAGGTAGAGATCAGTTTGTAAAAATGTTGAAAGTTCACCACAAGAAGTGTCAGTGGCCTGACTACTTCCTGAAATGTAACTACACACTGCAGTCTTCAAGAGGACTCACTTCACTTTACGTGTGAAAAGCTTGTGTGTGTTTCAGTTACAGGTTCAGCAAAGAGCAGGAATCCTGACACCGCGGGGTTTACACCCAAATAACTTGTCAGACGTGTCGGCCGAACGCACACGCTGTGACTGAGGGGCACATACATCATGCTGTTACGCAATCAGCCGCCAGCAGCCGGTTTATCTCTGCATGTGGGCGTGCACGATTGGTTACGCTAACAGCAACAGCAGAAACAGACCCCGAGGGAAAAACCGGAGAGGGTTAAACCTGCGTGTGTCTTCCGCATTCCTCACCTGGACACCTCGCAATTAGTGCTGAAGATGCAGAGACACAAAACAGAGCTGTTAACCGCACAGCTGCAAAGATGCATGAGTGCATTTAAACATGGTAAATCTCACCTTACCCCACACACACACAGACACACACACACAGGAGCTACAGCAAACAGCATTCCACAGCCGTTTGCCTGCAGGGATCAACTTTTTCAGTGTCAGACAATGAATCCTTGTTCCTCTCTCACTCTGTGACACACTTTTTCACTTACACACACTTAAATACTCGGCTTCTCCTTTTTCTCACCCAGGCACGCCCCCCCCCACACACACACTAGCACACAACAGCGCCGGCAGAGCAGCAGAAAAGGAGAAGGTAACTGGAGAAAAATAAAAGGTCATGTGGTTGTAAATCAAACACAGGACAGGCTGAGTTTGAGCGGGACTCTGGGAGCGGCGAGAAAACTCGGAGCTCTGTTTGACCTCGGTGACAGGTTTGTGATAAATTAAATTAGCCCGCTTCCTCGTTGTCCAAGGCTCGGCGGTGCGCTGCGTTTGCATTACACAATTAACTGAACAGCTGCCAAACGCACTGACACACTGAAAGCTTTGACGAGAGTGACGTCAGCTCTTTTCTCGCGTCTTACGGCACAGCATAATTACCTCGCAGCGCATCTCCGTTGGCCACATCGCACTCAATGAACGTGCAGTTTCCTTCTCCGAACTCGGCGTCCAGCTGGGCCTTGCACTCCTCACCGAGGTCCTTGTTCAGGTCCACCATGGCCACCTGCAGAACAGAACTTTGAGATGGACTCTGCAGCACTTTGGTTACAGTGCAACACTTATTTGCTCAGCAGACCATATTAGTCCTGTGGTTTCACAACTGTGCAGCTCAGACGGAAACAAACATTCATTTACTTAAACAGATGGCAAAGGAAGTTCCGAGAAATGACTGATCTCTCTGAAACGCCCGTGCTGCTGCAGAGAAGCGAATCTTTCACAATGATTTCATTACAGATTAACCTGGATTAACCACAGACTCACCTTTGAAACCCTGCTCCTGTTAAAAAACAAGTCAAACAGTGAAGAAAAAAAGCTTTTGAGGTGAAAAGATGAAAAACACAACAGATCGAAGGAAACTAAAAGCTGCAAGCAAAAGTTGCAGCAGTACCGACCTTGGCTGAGCTCTGCAGCAGTGACTGGACCACAGCTCTGCCGATGCCCTGAGCACCCCCCGTCACCAGAGCCACCTTCCCATTCAGAGACATGCTCCCAGCACAGCTGCACTCTTCCTCCTTCTTCTTCTCTCGGTGACTGTTCTTCTCTTCCTCTCCTGCTCTGCGTCTTCCTGCACCTTTCTGCTCTCTCTCCAACTCAATCACATGTTTTCTCACCGCTCTGTTTTTATTCTTTTGGCTAAGCTGTTTTCCCCTCCTCCTCCTCCCCCCCCTCCCCCCTCGCCTTATCAGTCTATACAAACACTGCATGTGTGTGAGAGAGCGAGAGAGGGAGAGGTTAAGTAAACTCCGTAGAATAATAATTACAGGTTTAATCCAACTTGTTGTACCTGCCCTCCCGGCTCCTCCTCCACGCCCTTTCTTCTCCTCCCCTCCTCCTGTTTGATCAGCACACCTGAGCTCCTGAAATGTGTTGCTGTTTATATAAAGTCTGCATTTCAGGACATGTCAGAGACAAAACCTCAGACAGCAGCTTCTTTAAAGAGCTGTCAGTCTCTCATTGTTCTTCCTCACCGTTGGTTTTTCTCCTGCGAGGCTTAAGTAGCGTTACACAACAGCGGCAGCGCAGCTCGGGGATACGTTACGGCGAGCTTCAGGTCTCTGCACGTCCACTCTCACACTGAATGGGAACCAGCAGCTGATAATGACCAAATATGTGAAAATACCACTCGCTCCAGTGTGTTTTCCTTCTATTCTTTAAAAATAATAAAGACACATGAGGAAAGGAAAAGCTGTTGTATCTTCATGAACTTCACTATTTATATTCTGCACACTTTAGATCGAGGAACATCGCTACGCTTCCGTTCCTCTGACTTCCTGTACACACTCTCTTCCTTTGACCTTCTTATCGTACATCCTTCCTTCATTCTTGGATCTGGAGATGATCTGCAGCGTGTTCAGCAGGCGCTCTTTAGATTTCTGGGATCTCCGAGGACCTGAAACAGCAGCAGAGGCAATATTTTGTGTGCCAGGTGAGGCCAGCCTGGACCGGACGGCAAGCATCACAGGAAGTGAGGTCGCTGTGCACAAACTGGATAATAAAGATGGACACATGTTCCTCCTGCTCTGCTCTCCTAAACCTGCATTCTTGTTGGTGGCCAGCAGGTGGCGACAGCAGAAACGGGAGATATTAATGCACCTTTAGGAAATCGTTTGTGTTGTAGTGATAAAGCTAAAGTGAAGCGAGTTAAGTCTGTGTATGCACTTACAAATACAACAGTACATGCACAGTAATACAAGGAATCAGCAACAACACGACATAAACAATAATAACAACGATGCGTGTATACATGTTAGTATGTAGCTCCTCCTTAATGGAGGTGAACAAAGCTTAAGCTTTGAATCAGGGCGACTGTGTCACAGACGAGGTCTGTGCAGGATTTTAAACTGTTGTTTTTTTCCCAGATAGTTGAAGTCCTCCCAAATCCTTCGCCCCTGTCTGTCTGTACAACAAAGATCTGCTTTGTTAATGTCAGAGACGTCGACACTGTTGCAGAGACATTTCGAGATATCTTAAAGCTTTTGCTCAGCTTGATGAAAGTCAAGTAGCTCCTCGTTCTCCAGTCGGCTTCACATTTCAGACACACTGATGATTCAATATGAACCCAAACTGAGGAGGTCTTATGTTTCCATCCAGGTATGTCTAAAAGAGCAATGAGCTCATAATATCCACAAGATCCAGTCCTCACGAATTCCAAAAGGAAGAAGTAAACCTTCAGTTATTATTGGAGTGGACAGGAATCATCCTCTTTGGGGACCATTCATCTCAACGGACTCCTGTCTAACGAGCATATATCCCTATAGAGCTTCTCTAATCGTATCCAATAGTGGACTAAAGTTAGCCTTCGTTATCAGATAACAGTGAGGTGGTATAAACACACTCAAGTAGGTGAAACACGAGAGAGAACATTTAAAGGGGAGCATGTAAAAGACAAAGTGTGAGACAAAAATAATAAATCGAGTAATTCTGAGATTATTTTATGAAATTTCTGACTGATTATAATCGCAGACGCTCTGGATCTTAAAGTCTTTTGAGGCTTTTTGAGCTACAGGTGCTGCAGAGCCCTCGTGAAGAACTTTAACCTTTTAAAACCGGAGCGCGGTTCATCTGAGTTCCTCTTTGCGACGTGCAGAAAGCACGTTTGTCTCTTATGGTTACTAGAAACAAGAAACAGCAGACCATCGTTGTTAAGAAGTGGCTCCCAAGTTTATTTTAGTCTGAGAGAGTTTCATGTAAAATATGCACAGCTTATTTTACAAAAACGTGTGTGTGTGTGTGCGCTCTGAACTGGAATGTAGAAGGAATGTTTGATGGATGTTCAACGACTACAAGGATGCGGTGATGAAATAAAACCTGTCAGACCCGAAACGGCTCTGACGTGACGGCAGTCGGCTTTGTTTTTACAGTTTTTACAGTGCAGTGAACAAAGAGTCGCAGTACGCACACAGCTCGACAACTTTATGTCCACAAATCGACACGTTCACCACAGCGCAAGTAGAAATACAAACACAACAGATGCAAAATTAATGGCTGTGAAATTATTTTCTTCGTATCCAGATGCAGCGAGGGACCTCGGGGCTCCAGAGCCGAGCTGGATTCAGACAGTCTGTATGAGCCGCTCGGCCCATAAAACAGAAGCAAAAAGAACAAAGCACACAGATCCAGATACACATCGATATGAACGTTTAAAGATTTTAAACCTTATTTGTGTTTCAAAGAAATGAATAACCTCGGACCGACAACACAAATGTACAGTGTGTGTGTGTGTCACAGAGTGAAAACAGTGCTGTAAACTCATCCAGAGTCACGGACATGTGACCGACTGCTCCAACAGAAGTAAACATCTACACAGGCTGCAGTTCCTCTAACGTCCAGCAGAGGCTCCAGCAGTGAGTCCCCAGAGACACGTTCTCCTCCTGATAGGCCGAGGACACAGGCGGCTTTAGCTGCTAGCTGCCTGCTAGGCTTCACCTGAACTGACGTCTGGACAGTGTTTGTGCTGTTTTAATGATTATCTGACCATCAAATGTCAGCTGTGAGGTTGCTGTCCAACAAGTCTGAACAGTTTTACTGAGTGAAATTCCAGGTTTTAATGTGATTTTAGTGATCAGCTGGTATTTGCTGCCTGTGGATGCAGACTGCTAACCAGGCTGGCTAGCATTAGCTAATAACTTCCTCCTGTAAGTACGGTCACTTCTGGCTCTAAAAACATTTGGCAGTGTTACAAAATCCATCTTTTCTATACAGGCTGTGACATGTAGCTAAACATGGTCTTTTTAACAGAACAGGCGAGGCCGCTTTAATTTAATGTAATGGATGATGTAACGAATTATCTTTCACAGCTGGGCCCACGTCCTCATTTAAGTTTGGCAGCGTTTTAGCAGGTAAAGGTGATGCTTTGACATGAATTGAGCTGCGGTTTGGGGAAGGCCTCGAAGGGGACTGGCGACGGCTCCCGGGCGGATCCCCGTAGACTAAATAGAAGTGAAGAAGCTAAAGAGTGGAGAACAAGGAGGGAGGGGCATGTAAACGAGAATGATCGGCTTGCAGAACTGGGGGAACCGATATAGATCATCATCATCATCATTTATTTATTTATATAGCACTTTAAAAACACACCTGGTAGACCAAAGTGCTGTACAATACTAATATGCACATAGTAATAAAACCAGACATAGCAATAAAGTTAAAAAACAATAAAAAATAAAAAAAATAAAAATAAAAATAAAAATAAAATAAAAATGTCAGTTACCCACAGAGTTAAAAGCCAGGGAATAAAAATAGGTTTTTAATAAAGACTTAAAAACTGGCACTGATGCAGCCTGTCTAATATGGAGAGGAAGGTTATTCCAAAGCATCGGTGCTGCAACAGAGAACGCTCGGTCTCCTCTAAGTTTCAGCCGTGACTTTGGGACCGAAAGCAGCAACTGCTCAGCTGACCGAAGGGAACGAGTGGGGACGTGGGGCTTCAACAAATCAGACAAATAAACAGGTGCCAGACCATTTAGAGATTTAAAAGCCAATAAAAGGACTTTAAAACGGATCCTGAATTCAATTGGAAGCCAGTGTAAAGAGGCCAAAATCGGAGTGATGTGATCAAATTTTCTTCTACCAGTTAAAAATCGTGCCGCAGCATTTTGCACTAATTGCAAGCGTGACAAAGTGCCCTGCCCAACCCCTGTTAAAAGAGAATTACAATAATCTAAACGTGAGGTAATAAAGGCATGAATAACACTTTCCAAGTCACGCTTGGAAAGAAAGGGCTTAACCTAGATGACAGCCGGAGAAGCGTGTTTGGAGGCGTGGTCTCGCTCCTGAAATTCCGATACATCAGTCATCTGTCAGTGCGCCCCAGGGCGGCTGTGGCTACAATGTAGCTGCCATCACCAGTGTGTGAATGACTGGATGTAGTGTGGAGCGCTTTGGGGTCCTTAGGGACTGAGTAAAGCGCTATACAAATGCAGGCCATTTACCATAATCTCCAATACAAAAAGTAAAGATGATGTAATAGATTACACACCTGTTACGTCACAGTGTCATCTCCCTGTACCACAGCCTTTCTTTCCAGGCCGACTCTGAACCTGAGCTGCTAAATCTGAACTTATTTCACTCTCTGAAAATCAGCTGATTGAAACACATGCTGCATAAAATTGACCAAAAACACAAAATCAAAGCACATAAAGCAGCAACGCAACTGTGACATCATCAAAACAAGTAGATTTCCACACCGACTGTGTCCTAACTCTATACCAAGCAGCAATCAGCACATCTGACTGTGGACTAAGACGATGGACACGAGCACAGAAATGAGAAACATGACGCAAACGTGCACAGTCAGGATGTGATGCAGAGTCTGCACACAGCTGCAGACGGCCGTCGTCCTACAGAGAGGCTGTTTTCATCACAACTATGCAAATATTTCTGGGAGGGAAACACTGATGTAAATAACGCAGCGATGGCGTCGTGTTAAGCTAACTGAACATCCTTCCAGGAAACAGTTTGGACAAACGTGGCCTGAGCGTGAAGCTGGTTCAACAGGAGTGCTGCACACAGCACAGAGGAGAGCAACGTGCGACTGTGCCGCCATCACATTCTGTTCGCTTTAAACAAACAAAGATTTCTCAAAAACAAATAAAAGGGCTAAACTGGCATCACAGCTGGAACAGGCTGACCACGACTACCCGAGTCCTGTTGAACAGAAGACACCTGAACAACGTTTGGTTAATCTCGCCTCCTCACCTCGTTGCAGAGTCCTCAAACCTGGAGCCTTCTCCCTGCGCTGCTGCAGCGATTACGTCACTGTGACACAGTGTCAGTGAACTTTGTGCAGAAAATGAGGTTTCATTATTAGGAAACTGGCTAAACGTGCCAAATGACTGCAGCAGGATATAAAAGGAGAAGACTGAATGCTGCAGCTCCCCCCTCACTGCTCATGTCAGCAGCTGAAAGTAATTAAAGTTACCACACTGCTTCCTAGAAAACACAACAAAATTCCAAAGAAAGTCCGTGAACGGTCAAAGTGACGTAAGCCAGCAGTAATTCATCCCAAAAACAAGCAAAGCAGAGAATCGCTGCGTTTCAGACCTGAACTAAAGTCACAAAGCTGAAGCGACTGACTGCACCTCACACTTTCTCCAAATGAATTTCAAATGTCAAAACTCTGTCGCACGGCGCGTCTGCACAAAAAATGAAAATGAAGACTGGAAATGTGATGAACCTGGGTCTAGCTGCTCGCATGTTCTTAAAGGGAGTGAGTGTGAGCTTCCAGTGTGACTGTGCGCCGCCGCCGCCGCAGCCGCAGCGTGGGACGGCCACTCCCAACATACGCAGTGAGGTTTGAGTGTGTGGGTCGTGTAAGCACGTATGACACATCTGTAATGAAACATCAGGGCGTTGTCAGCGTGTCAGGGAGGAAATCAGTGCAGAAAGGACAACTCTCACAATGGGTGCATCGAACCTGACTCACACGATGCTGAGTGACAGAAAGCTGCAAAGACGCACAGCTTTTGTTTGGCTGTTCTTTCTTTTGCAAGCGTCACTTTAAACGGAGAGGAAACCTGAACTGGGCAGCTCAAGTGTTTTGATCTTCAGCTGAAAGATGGAACCAGTGCTGCAGTTCCTCTGACGTCCACTAGAGGCACTGAGCCAGTCCCGATAGACTCCCGCCTCTGCAGCAGGTGGATGGCGACACAGGCGGCTGCTAGCTTCACCTGAACTGGACCTCTGGACCGTGTTTGTGCTGTTAGAGCCTTTTGGAGCCATGACATCATGTGACCAATAACATGGCTGCTGTGAGGTCACTGCACTTGGAGTCGTATCCGGTGAGCGAAATTCAAGGTTTTTACTTAGATGACACTTTGTTTTGCCACACCCTTACATGCAGTCTGCTAACCAGGCTAGCTCATGTAATCGCTTCCCCTTTGGCAGCCAGAACGGTAACATTAAGGCTTTGACATCAGAGTCCTTCTCAGGTTTGTGGCCTTCACTTCTTTCCAGGCGGTTTCAAATCAGCTCAGCTTGAGCTGATCTGAAACAGATCTGTCACGAGAACAGACACAATACTAAAACTCACAGAAAACTCAGGACTATGGTACAGTGTCTTTGTCTGAACCAGTATTGGTTTCAGAGGATTAAACAGACGAGCTCACACTTTTCAGACTTCAGACTGCGGTGGAGCGACGGAGGCTTTAACTGTAGCAGAGACAGACAGATCTAAGCTGCACTTCTCCACCCGGAGCCCGAGCTCAGCTGCACGCCGCCTGCCGCATTTCAGTCTGGGAATCTGGCTTTTTCAGACTTTTACATTAGTATGCTGATGAGATACGTCCACAGCACACAGGATATCTACACACTTGTCTTTTTACTGGTTATTTTTCTAAATACTTTTAAGCTTCCAGAAGTTTTACGTTCAGCTGATAGCAGACCTGTGATCGCTGAGGCTGCATCAGCGTCTGGGCCTCTCAGAGAAATCGAATCCTCACACCTGTTACACACAACACAGCAGACCTGGAAGTGAAGCTGCAGGCTGTGCTTCAAACTCAAGACCACTGTGCTGACTGATACACCGCCTGTGTCTCCACCCACCTGTTTATCACGAGGCCACGCCCCTCATAATGCAAAGCCTTACAGTTTAAATGGATAAAGTTGTTACAAAGGGTGAAATCAGCTACAGAGACCAGATGGTCTACGAGTCTACAGGCGCTGACTCACTTTTGGCGCCGCCCTCTAGAGGCCATTAGAGGAACTGCAGTTTCTCGCACTTACGTGTGGTTGAGACGTTCAGCCCAGCTGGCTGTGAGTCACAGTATCCTTCACGCTATTGATCGAGCTGGTTTCAGTTAACTGAAATCCCCCACTTTGTCTTTGGCAGGTCAGATTTTCCACCACTAAAATATTATCAGACTGGAAAAGAATGAATTCCACGTGGAGGACGTAATCCCGGCACGTAGCGCCCTCTCTGCTGCTCCGTCACGTCTGCCACGCACTCTTCAACAACATTTTTAATTTCAACATCACAGACTTGGTATCAAAGACTATCAGAAGATTATTTTTAACTAGATGAACCTTTAAAAAGTTTTCTGTGGTTTTCAGGCAGAGATCCAGTTTATCCATCCTTCATGACAAAGATCATCCTGATTGGCTCTCTGGGGTTCATGGAAAAGGAAATGCAGATGTTCGTGCGCCTGCGTCTGAATAATCTCTCGTCCTTTGTCTCTACTGCTTATGCACGTCCTCGTGCCGCAGTATCTTGTACAGGACCCAGTAGAATATGTTGAAGAAGAGGAAGGCCAGCGGGAAGCCGGCCCTCGACACAGTGTCAATCTTTTTGGCTCGATCGATGAACAGCTTCCTCATCTCCTCCATGCTTTTACCCCCACTGGCTGCTGCAGGTGCATTCTGGGTAGCGTTCTGCGCCGTGGCTCCCGGCGTGTTCAGTGCACTCACGGCGTTGTTGGCGCTGGCCTTCGACTCCTTGCTGTTGCTCGGGGTGGAGGTCACGGCGGCAGCAGGGGTCAGCCTGCTCTCATGTGCCCCCCCTTCCTGTTGGAGAGACGAGGAGGAAGAGGAGGAGCAAGGGGAGGAAGGGGTAGAGGGTCACAGATTATTTGTGAATCTGTTCACCGGTTTGGCCTCTGAGCGAGGCACCACACCTGACCGAAGCACAAAAACGGAGAAGCAAATGAATTCAGATTTCCTCGGGTTGGTGCTCGGAGCTACTTTCTCTACGTTCCTGTTTAAAAGCTTCTGAAGCTGACCTACAGACAAACACCAGCTGTGAGGCGTTAAAGAGAAACCAGCAGTGCAACGAGTCATTAAGAGTTTACCTCAGAGTTTAAACTCTGCCCCCTGGTGGTGAAAGCTTTAGTTAAACTCAGCTGAGGAAATTACAAAAGGTATCTTTACACCTGCCGCGTGCTTTTGAATCAAATTTTAGGCAGAAATGTGACGACACTGAGCCGAGAAATGTTTGTATATGAGATCATAATAAGGATGAAGGTGTTTTTGGGAGCCATTGATTCACAAAAATAAGCTAAAGATTAGTTCAGGTGTTACAGCTGCGGTTTCAGTTAAATGTGCGGAGAGATGTCAGCCATCAGTAAACAGCTGGAAACCCTGCAGTGAGACAAACAGCAGGTATCAGGTTACACTCAGGACAGGCAGGTGTGGATACCTTTGTTCCCTTAATGAGTGACATCATCATTTAAAAACAGTCCCTGTGTATAAACAGTGATGTCAGAGTCTGTGCTGGCGTCCTGTGATTTTTGTTCTTTGGCTCACAGACTTCCTGTCAGCTTACAGCATCCTCAGACTGTCCACACAGTCAGGCCGCTCTGCAGGCGGCCGGTGGGAGATAATGTCCCAGCCTCCAGCTGCTCATCATCACTGAGCGGCCGCGTGTTTGTCTGGACAAACATTTCTGAGCACAGTTAAGCTCAGCTGCACTACCTTAAGCCCAGATATGACTTCTAAACTGAAAGAAAGGAGGCTGAAGTTTTACATGCTCACTCAAACTGTCCTGATCCAGATGTGCACTCATCTGGAAATATGTCATTAAAAACCACAGAAACAGTCACGGCTCGCACACATCAGAGAAATACGTTTATGTTCGTGTCACCATTTTACTCCTTCAACACATCCTGTCTTATTTATGAAGCTGCTGTGTGAAAAGTGTCAGACTGATGGAGGAGGAGCTCCTGCAAGAGAAACATGCGCACAGACACACACACATGCAGCGTGGCATTACCCCGTGGTTGCTGGTGTAGATGTTGGTCATAGATCCGTACAGAGGCTCTGCCGCTTTGAGGCCGTCGTCAGTGTTAACACGACGAAGGGACTCGGCTAGCTCCTCTGGATCAACGGCACCTCCACTGATCTACCGACCGACAGCATGCACACGTCAACAGAAAGCAAAAGGAAGAACAAAAGAAAAAGAGCAGGCTGGGCCGCTCAGCCGTTCAGTCAACGCAGGGAAACGTTCAGCTGCTTGCACAGACGCACAGATAGGAACGCTGATGGATTTGCATCAGACGCTGTCTATGAGCTAAATCGACCGTAAAATGATTTTTTATGTGTTTTCTTTTCTAAAATTGTTTCCATGTGTGTTTGTTTGTTTTTATTTCATTGTGTTAAACAGTAAACTTAGTGTGTCTGCAGGTCTCTGTTCACATTCAGTCTTCAGACCCACAGGCTCAGCGTCCGTGCTTTCATCAGGACGTGTCAGTGACACGTTTGTGTTGGCGAGTTGACTGAATGCTGATCTTCCAGCCCGCCGAGGTCGTGATCACGCACCGAGCTCAGGCTCATCCGGGTTGGATGGCTGCAGAAACACAGAATCATCACACTGATGCGGTTACATGCTGCGTCATGCACCGATACAGCGAGATGACTCAAACATGCGGAGCGAGAAGCACCGATTCCTCCACCACTTCCTCCTCCCTCTCCGGCCCAGCTCCAATCCGACCTGGCGCTCCACGCTGAGCTGTTCTCCGATGGAAGCTCAAACGTCAGATGGAAGTGATAAATCCATTTCTGACATGCTCCCACATATCTCTGTCTTTCTATAAATTCTAATAAGAATAAAAATGACGAGTAAGCACATTTCAAAAGTGTTTCCATAGAAACAAACGAGATGTGTGTAGGATTACACGTGACACACGTCTAAAGCTAATCCAGACTTTTATCCTGAAATCTTTCAGGGATTTTTCCACCCTGGGATGGGCCAAAAGTGTACTTATGACTTCTGCACAGATATATGAAAAATTAAAATAACAGAAGTTGGAAGAGATTTTTTCCTGGATGCAGCGAGTCAAAGTTTTCCTTAGTTTTCCTGAACTCTAAACATCGGACGAGGCTGAAAATTCCCACGATGAATGATTTGTGCTGCTGTCAGCGTTCCCCTCAGCCGGGGTGTTCAGCCTCAGCCTGGACGGCGTGGACCTGCGCTCCTCACAGTGAGCCGGATTGGATCTGGGCCTTTCTCGCCTCGTGCCGTCTCTGAGCAGAACGCTGCAATAACAACGTGTCACCACACGGTGGCAGCCTCAGCCCAGAGCACACGAGTCACAGCGGTCCATCAGTCTGTGGATGCAGGTCACAAACTGTGTGTAGGTGTTCCTCACTCTGGATGGTGCTGCGTTCGCTGTGCTGTGCAGTGTGTGGGACTTTTCTGTACCTTGCTCTTATTCTTGTTGTGCCGTCTGAAGCGCAGCAGCTCTTTGTGTTGCCTCGACACAAAGTTAACGGCAGCGTACTCCAGCAGCGCAGAGAAGACGAACAGAAGACACACGGCCATCCAGATGTCGATGGCCTTCACATAAGAGACCTGTAAACACACACACGCTTCATTCAGCAGGCTGGAGGCGCTCACCGTCAGTGGTTTAAGTTCACAGTGAGTCTCAAACGTAACTCTGACTGCACAGATGTTTCATTTTTCTGCAATAATTATAGACTTTATTTCAGGGCTGCAGCTCTGTGTGTGTGTGTGTGTGTGTGTGTGTGTGTGTGTGTGTGTGTGTGTGTGTGTAAACGCACTGCTGTGACGCCCGTGGTGTCAAGAAGATGTAACTGCCCTCCTTTATGAAACGATGACTTATTCAGACACATGTAACATACTGGAGTGCAAAGCTCTGTTAAGCACTGGCTACATGTCACACACACACACACACACACACACACACACACACAGCTGTTTGGCCTAGCCTTTGTGTGTGTACAGTATGTGAGGGAGGGATGAGTGTGCTGATGAGTTAATAAGGCTTATGTAACGAGCGCTCCATGTCTGATTGTTTCTCATGCATACACGATACCAGAGCAGGACTGTGGGGCTTGTTCTCACTCACGCTCTGCCAGACGCATGATGTGTGGAATAAACAGACTTCGGTTTGTGCGTGCAAAACATCCGGTAAGATGGCGGAGGACAAAAACTCAGCAGCACGTCACCATGGTAACATCTGCCGCAGACCTAACCTGGTCCAAAGCAAACTCCAGATGAGACATTAACATGTATAAACCCCTGTCCACTCGACCAATCACATCCAAAACGTCCCTGGGTCACTGTGTGACCCCCGTGCCTGCAGGCTTTGTGTTGCTCTGCTTCACCAGCTGTCTCCAGAGTGGATGCAGGAGCTTTGTCTGGGCTGTGGTGGAAGCTGCTCTGAATTGTGAGGTTTTACATCATGAACAGCTGAGTGTGCGCTTGTGTTTTTCTGGGGTAGGAACGGCAGCACTTTGTGATGGAGGTGTTACTCTGCTGCAGAGCAGCTACACCTCCACAATACCAACTGAAGTGCCGAGCTTCTGCAATGGCTGCACCTAAACCCCGCATGTCAGACTCCATTCACTCATTTAGAAACTCACCTGTTCCACCTAGCCTTTGAAGCAAACTAGTTCGGACTTCCACCCGGTCTGCATTTGTGCTATGTAACTGTAACTGTCACTGTAACTGTAACTAAACCTGTTTATTAACTGTTTTTGTTGCCATTCGTTGGAATCTGCCTTGTGTGAAGCACTTTGATGGACACTTCCCTTTTTAAATGTGCTGTAGAAATAAATACTGATTGAATAATTGAGAGTCTGTGATGGGAAGGAAAATAAGATGGAATGGTTGGAAGGCTGAATCTGCCGGAGAGAAGAGAAGACATGGATGCAGCATCACCTCTGCTGGACACGCAGCGGCGGCTGAGGACCGCCTACTGTGAACTCATCATTACAGCCTCACAACGAACAACATGTCGCGCTAATATTATCCTTCATCTACATGCATTCAGGTAGCAACAGTCCTCACAGTGTGTGCAGCGTGAGGCCTTTTACACACACACACACACACACACACACACACACACACACACACACACACACTACACACTGACTGCACACTAACTACACACCTTAGGCAGTGAGGTCCGGAGCCTGAGCTCTGCGTCGTCATGGTGAGGACGGTGGTGATGCCCAGGGCCACGCGGGCTGGTGCGGCGTCCATGTTGATCCAGAAGGAGACCCAGGACAGGATGACGATGAGCAGGGAGGGGATGTACATCTGGATCAGGTAGTAGCCCATCTGACGCTCCAGGTGGAAGCGCACCTCGATGCAGGTGAACTTTCCTGCGACAAAGGAGCGACAGTCACAAACCTGCAGACAGGAAAACGTCAACACCAGCTTTGGCATGAGCGACGGGGCGAGAGGATACTCCCACCTCGTAGCCGACTCGCGAGCAGCATGGCCGCTTCACCTGTCCCTCGGCCTCCTTTAGCAGTAATGATACTTGTAACATATGTGTACCTCGGGCTTCTGTTTAAGACACCACCAACTTGTTCATGTGTCTAACCGCTTTTACCCACTCGGCGACACACCCACCGCGGGTCAAACTCTGACTCCGTTCTGCCAAAACAATGTCGGACTCTGTAGTTTTCTCTGGTCCCCTCCCCAATCAGACCAGGAGTGACATGTTTAGCCGCATGTTCTCCTTAAATTGCTGGCTGTCTGAGTGGTGTCCCAGAAACGATGTGGGCTTCATAGATAATTGGCAAACCTTCTGGAGGAAACCTGGTCTTGTTAGGAGAGACGGCATCCATCCCACTTTGGATGGAGCAGCTCTCATTTCTAGAAATATGGACAAATTTATTAAACCCCCCAAAATATGACTATCCAGAGTTGGGACCAGGAAGCAGAGTTGCAGTCTTACACGCCTCTCTGCAGCTTCTCTCCTCCTGCTACCCCCCAAAAACCCATCTCCATAGAGACTGTGTCAGCTCCCAAACAGACAAAAAACAAACTAAAAACCAGCAACAAACAACTTAAACATAAACACAAAGAAAGAACAATACAGTATCCACATCTGAACCAAAGAGTAAAACAGTGAAATGTGGATTATTAAATATTAGGTCTCTCTCCTCCAAGTCTCTGTTAGTACATGACTTAATAATTGATCAACAAATCGATTTATTAGCCTGCACTTCGCTCTCGCTCTGCAGGCCTACTTGTTGTTCCTAGAGTATTTAAAAGTAGAATGGGAGGCAGAGCCTTCAGTTTTCAGGCCCCTCTTCTGTGGAACCAGCTTCCAGTTTGGATTCAGGAGACAGACACTATCTCTACTTTTAAGATTAGGCTTAAAACTTTCCTTTTTGCTAAAGCATATAGTTAGGGCTGGACCAGGTGACCCTGAATCCTCCCTTAGTTATGCTGCAATAGATGTAGGCTGCCGGGGGATTCCCATGATGCATTGAGTTTTTCCTTTCCAGTCACCTTTCTCACTCACTATGTGTTAACAGACCTCTCTGCATTGAATCATATCTGTTATTAACCTCTGTCTCTCTTCCACAGCATGTCTTTATCCTGTCTTCCTTCTCTCACCCCAACCAATCACAGCAGATGGCCCCGCCCCTCCCTGAGCCTGGTTCTGCTGGAGGTTTCTTCCTGTTAAAAGGGAGTTTTTCCTTCCCACTGTCGCCAAAGTGCTGCTCATAGGGGGTCATATGATTGTTGGGTTTTTCTCTGTATCTATTATTGTAGGGTCGACCTTACATATAAAGCACCTTGAGGCGACTGTTGTTGTGATTTGGTGCTGTGTAAAATAAAGCTGAATTGAATTGAACTCGTATAGTAAACTTCCAAATTTTGGTCCCTACAAACATATGTGTACACACACACGCACACACGCACACACACCACCACACACGCACACACACACACGCACACACAGTCACACACACACACAGACACACACACACACACACACAGACACAGACACACACACAGACACACACACACATACCACACACACACACACACATACACACACACACACACACACACACACACACACACGCACACGCACACACACACACACGTACACACGCACACACCACACACACACACACACACCACACACACACACAACACACACACACACACGCACACACACACACGCACACACACACGCGCACACACACACACGCACACAGCACACACACACACACACACACACACACACACACACACTCACACACACACACACACACACTACATCCATGTCTGGTCAGGACCTGCTTTGTCAGTCGGTTTGTTTCTCCCTCACTTTGTTTTTCGACTCGATCCTTGGAGAACAAACGTGACGGATGAAACGTGGCAACCCTTTCATCCTGTGTGCATCTTACCTGCATCCTGATGCTTACGGCAGTGTGTGTGTGTGTGTGTGTGTTACCTGTGTTGTAGTGCTTGGTGCAGTATCGGAGGTCTGATTCATCTTTGAGGATGAACTGTGGGAGCGTGAGGCCGTCGGCCACTTGAACAGGTCCGTTCTCCTGCCACTCAAAGATCAGGTCGTTCATGGTGTACCCGACTGAAACACAGAAATTATGAGAGACAATAGATTTAAGAAAGGCCACAGAGCACAAGTCTGTGTGTAGCGAGGAGTTTGACCATCTTTTGTTCAGATTGTGTCGACTTGTGTTCGCACTCTTGTGTCTGCGGACTGTCGGTGTTTCAGGGCAGCAGACACGTTTTCCTTCCTCGTGGGGCCCGCACTACGACGGATGCTGAACACACCCAGGGTCTCCATTTATGCAGCTTCAGTGGTTTTAATGTTTTTATTGTTTTTAAATGTGCATCTCTGTGTCGGCATCGTTTCCCTCCGGTGGTCCTCGGTGTCTGTGTTTCAGCATCACTGTGTTTTTGGTTATTTCCTGTTTTATTTTGAAGGGTACTTTTCTCTCGTGTCTTGTCTGCTGTGTTTTCGCCTGCGTCGGCCCACCTGTGCCTCACATGGTAACTGGCCTGGTTCTTGCTCTGTACAACATGCCTCATTTACACGAGCACAATGATTCATAAATCTCAGATTTTTTCACAACCCAACATAAAAAACACATCAAATGTTTAAAGTGAAAAAACTATGAGCTCATTTTGAGTTTGGGGGCAGCAACATGTCTCTAAAAGATGTGCAGGGCTGCAACAAGAAGCTGGAAAAGTAGTTCGGACGAGAAAGAAAAGCTGGAGGAACACTGAGCTACTAATCAGGCTGTCAGCAGGTCAGTCACATGATCGGGTATAAAAAGAGCGTCTCAGAGGGCCAGAAGTTCTCAGAGGAAACTGCATCCACAAACTGGTTTTCAGAACGATGCTCCTCACTGTGAACATCTCATCGTCATCATGTGGAGGAATCTCTATGCGCAGAGAAGAAGCCAGATGTGACCGGCGCCATCTCCTCTGGACCAAAGCTCCTTTAAAACTGATCTGAGGTCAGACCCATCCAAACATGGACGCCGCATCCTCGGACTGAAGAGGAGAGCATCCAGCTCATTATCAGCGCTCAGGTCAACGCCTGCAGCTCTGATGTTTCGGGGGCGTGCCTGTGGGACTCACAGCTGGCACATCTGGATACCAAAAAAAGGAGGAAGCAGAGCGAGGACTGCTGAGCTGTGAAAGTCCAGCAGCTGCTCTCCGCAGCTCGCGGACGCTCACAGACTGATGTTCGAGGACGATGTTTGCAGATCGCTGCAGCCTGTTTTTGCGTCAGCCCTGATTTCCGGCTCTGTTTAGCTTCTTTAGTTTTCCCATCTTTAGGACTCATGCATCTCATTGGTGCGTCCCGTCCTCAGCACACAGGACACTGGATGTTTTTAGACAGAGCTCACGGCCAAACGCACCACCAGCACAGATATCACCACACACATCAGAGAGGCACTGCAACGTGCCCGAGGACGGACCAGAGATGGCTGGATGATGTGGGAGGCTTGATGTTAATGCAAACAGATGCCGTGATATTATTCTTGTTTTCACACATGCGTCTTATATCCAGCTTTCAGTGGCCCCTCTTCTTCTGTGTCCGGGTGAAGGCAGAGGGAGAGCGGAAGCCACGTATGAATGCGTGCGGTCGGAGCGCTGCGGGGCTCTTCGGCGAGCGCAGGAAGCAGCTGGTATGTGCTGGTGCAAGCCTGCAGCCATGCACAGAAAGAATGAGTTCATCCTGCTTCTTAAGCTTCGGCTGAAAGTGCGTGAAAAGTGTTTGCATGTTAAAAAAGAGAAAAACAGAGGAGAGCGCGCCTGCAGCCTTCCACACGAGCATCGGTGCTCGGCTCGGGATGCTTTTAAATCTTACGACGGCCTCCGGTGGCAGCGGCGGCCGTGACTGTCGACTCGCTGCACTTACGAGCTCGGCTGGTCCCGGACGCGACCTGAACAGGGTCAGGCTGCAACCACAGCCTCCAATTATGTTTCACGGAACGAGACATAAACCTGGACCGAGGACTTTCTGTCCTCGAACACGGACCACGTCACGACTCATTTCCTCTGCATGTCAGTATGTCCTGATGCGTCCTTATGGTTCCTCTGACATCAGGGAGCAGCAATGCAAATAATCTGTGCGTGTCTGTGTGTGCGTGTGCTTACCTCTCAGTGTGTGTGTGTTTCTATGTGTGTGTATGTGGGTCAGAGAGGACTGGAACTACCAGTGAAGATGAATAAGCTCTTCGAGGGCTCTGTCCCTGAGGCCAGGCCTCTGATTGGGCAGACGATGGATTCGTCATCATAACTGCACCAACATCATTAAACACGACTGCTTCCTTAAAAAGATATGCTGCTAAAATATGTTCCCATGAAGGGAGACTAAATATACTTCAGGATGGATGAATGAATCTCGTCTTCATCCAGCTTTCTGGAGCATCATCCGCACGACATCAACAGATTCTGAAATCATGGTATTGTTTGCAGCACGGACTTCCTGCGTGTGCAGGCAGCACACGTCTGAACAGAAGCAGCGTGCTACATATTCAGAGTCACGCACCGAGCCTCTGTGGGCGCGGAGACGGATCGGAGGAGACGTATCGCTGGGATATGGAATATACATGTTCACGCGGAGCAGAAACACGGAGCAGGCGGCGGCGGCGGGCGGGGGGCTGCTCTATGTTTAAGCACACAGCTTTAACCCGAGGAACTTCCCTCTGACAAAAGTCTTAATCCACACTCGGGCTGCTTTCATCTGTCTGTGAGGGGGGATTTAAACATTATCTACAAGGATCAGAGTTTTAATCTCATTCTGAGCCTCGCTGGGAATGACTGCCGCTGTAATTAGCTCCTGTCTATCTCTGCAAATTCACAGCGGCCCAGAGCCGCAGCCTCTGAAGCATCTCCCATCAGCTGGTCAGAAAGTTTAGCTGATCCAGCCGCAGCACACGTCTGCTTCAGAATCAAGGCGACGGCCGACAGGAGAGCAGACCCTGCTAACAGCTCCCCAAATGGCTCTTTAAATGTCAGCTGCATTTTGGCTCATGGTCCATTTAAGGTGGACTGTGACCAAGTAGAAACCCATCCCATCACGGACGCTGTGTCCTCTGGACTGAGGATGAGGAACCATCTGGCTTACTGTCAGTTCAAAGATGGTCCCCCCCGATGGTAAAGAGGGAGGGGTGCAGTAGTCCACATGGCAGGGGGAACTTGTTCATCCATGGAGCAAACAGGCTCTTTAAATGTCAGCTGCATTCTGGCACCAAAAAAGCGATCTGTTAGTGTTTTCCTGTATTCGTGTAGGGATTCATCTCCCACCGAGGAAACCTTCAAAATGCATCGCAGGCGAGTTCAGAGTTTGTTCTGTGGACGTGTGAGGGCTGGTGTGACACAGGAGGATGCTGGGATAGAGAGAGAGATGCAGGCAGGTGAAGAAGAAGCATCTCCGCGTACGTATGAACACACGTGTGGCAGAACGACACGGCTTGTCAGCTGCTGTTTGGCTGCTGATGACGAGGACTCTGTTTTCCCAGGTGTGCCTGAAGGAGTCGCGGGGCACAGCTGCAACAACGAGCTTGACTTGGAGTCAAAGACCCCGCCCCATCATCAGCAGCCCTGTCGTGTTGTGACCATAAATTTTAAATGTTCACATGTGACCGAGTCACAGCTCCTCGATGATGCATCCTTCTCTGCACCTTGACCATAACATTGCATCTCCTGCAGTTTTGCATTGGCGGTGGATATTTAACTGCCCTTCTAATTGTTGGTGGTGTAGTGGTTAGCACATTTACCCGGCAAGCTAAAGTCACCGGTTTGATTCCAGGTAGTGACACTAATCGCATCAGATGTAAAAACGCTGCCAAACCAAAAATCTGGAGCTGAAAAGAGCTTCTTTGTAATTAAGGCTCACAGCCTGAATGAAAGGTGTTTCTTAACCCTTTAACCCAGGGGTGTCCAACTGCAGGCCTCGAGGGCCGGTGTCCTGCAGGTTTTAGATGTGTCCTTGATCCATCACAGCTGATTTAAACGGCTAAATGACTCCTCAACATGTCTTGAAGTTCTCCAGAAGCCTGTTAGTGTGTACAGTCATGCAGTACTTACAGCTCTCCAGCTGCATGATGCACGTCTGAACATCCATCGGGAAGTTTTTTAGATCCATGGGACACGACAGAGTTAACGTTAGCCTGAAAAGAAAGAAAGGAGACACTGAAGACCGAGACCGTGGGTTCAAAGTCACAGACATCGTAACATGTCAGTTTATATCAATGTGCCACCTGCACTGTTGGAACCAAGAGGATACCCGATAATATCAGACTTTATACATCAAAATATTCAGAAACGAGATCCCACTCTGACAAACTTACAGAACCACTGTCAGCATCTAATGTTTAAATCCTAAAGCATGAAGACCTTCTCTCTTTGACTCACGATGGACATAAAAAGTTCCACTAAACCCAAAAATGAAGAATAAATGTTTAATCGGAGCTCATATTATAACATCTGCAAGTCAGATTAGTCAAATGAATAAATGCGGTCCAGTGTTTAAACACGACGAGCTAGCAGTGAGAAAACAGTGTGAGGCCAGAGGACATGTGGCGAGGCAGCAGCGAGCTCAAATCAGAGCATTTCTGAAGATCAGCCTAAAAAGTTTGGACCTGTTCATTAACTAACCTGTAAAGCACTTTACTTTCACATATCAAAGACTTACATTTAGCACCATGAAGTCTGAGGCGATGGACTTAAACCCAACAACAGGAAGATATTCTAAACATTTTTATATCAGTGACCTGATTAAATAGACACGACTGCAGACGTGCATATATTCATTCTGCAGATGCGTCTTCCTCGGTATCTCAGAGTTTGCTGCGTGCCTCTGGCTATGAAAGCATGCATGCATGTATATACACTGCACACGGATCCTTGGTTTCATGCATAAAGGAGCTTGTAGCTTCAAATTACAGGAAATAAACAGAAGTCAGAGTGACATGACTCCATGTGTCACGAAGGTTTTTCTTAACCGTGCTGCTGCTCACCTTATAGAGTACAAAACATTGCCGTTCTTGAATATCCTGAGCAGTTTGTTGTCTGTGGTGACTTCGTGGAAGTGGGCTCCCTTCTCGTTGGCGAAGAACAGATCCGGTTTCCATATGGAGTCTAACATAGAGGGATCCAGGTCCAGAGAGTCATCGGGGTATTCGGAATACGCCAGCCTGGGATCGTTCCACTGCTGACGGAGGAAGATGTTCACTCGGTAGTCCTGCAGACACACAACATAACACGACTAAGTCACACATAGAGAAGCACATGCGACTGTCAGAAACGTAAAAATAAATAACCACAAAGATCATTTACACGAGAACAGGAGGAGAAACTGTCCACGAAGCCCCATCAAAGCTCTACAGGCAGCTGATGGAATCTTTTTTCAGCGAGAGACTCAAATCCAACAGCGAGTGAGTCTATAGAGTCTAAACTGGCCTGCAGCGCAGACCTTTCACACACTGACGTGTTAGGGAATGAAAAGCATGACAAAGGAGGCCCTGCATATTGTTGCATTTCCCCTGACACACAGATATGCATGCTCGTGTTGTCTGAACAGGACAAGTTCCCTGAACATGTTCTCACAGGGCGGATATAAATTGGGCTACGTGTCGTTTCTCAGAGGTCCTGGAACCTGATTCGTATAACCAATCACTGAACCCGTCATATTTTTATCCTGACTGAAAGGCTTGAGGTGTACACAGATGAGACAGAGGCCTGTAAATCAATTAGAGACCTGTGCATCAGCTGTGCTGGAGGATAGCCTGATGCAAACATGTCAGTGAACACGTGTTCATGCACAGGCACACCTTATAGGTGGCTGACGCCTCGTTACTCCCATCAGTATACGCAGGCATGAGCGTGCAGCAATGTGACTGCAAATCAGCCTTGAAGGGTCCTCGAGGCGACTCCTTTCTTACAGCTCAGTCGAAGCGCAAAAACAGCAGCAGCAACAAGTTATATTTTTAATGCTTTGGACAGGAAGTAGCGTTGCCCTGTTTGCTGCTGTGAAAACTCAGAGATGATAGTTGGAGTGACTACAGGGGCCACAGCTTGGTTGGAAAAATAGTCTTTGAAGGAACGGTACAAAGAATGGGCAAATTCATCAAGTCAAACCATCACATCCTTCACTCTGTGACTCACAAACTCTTATGTGACATCGTTAATCTTCCAGAGACATCAGATCACAGCAGGGATCCCATGGAAGCATTAAAAATATATAAGATAACTAATTCATTATCAACAACCATATTTCTTGGGTTGGGTATCAACACCAACAACGACCGCATCAGGCAATATAAAAGAAGGAGCTGGGGTGGACGTGGGTTGCAAAGTGGCTTGCAGGTAGGTGTGCAGCAGCTTTGGAGAGGCTAAAGCAGTTTGGTCAATCTGATATCCTTGTGTCAGTGTTGTTTATGCACCAACATTGGATCTGACCAATCACCTGCAGATGTCCACTCAGGAAAGAAAATCTAACAAAGAGGGTGGTTAGGGTGTGACTGTGTTTCCATGTCCCAGAACTATGGCATCACTACAGTGTGATTGGTCACTTTAACCTGGACCAACATCAGTGATGATGATCCAGGAACAACACCAACACGACGACATCAGATCAAGTTGTTCAGCTGAGCACTCAGATCAGCTGATCTGCCGGGATAACAGCTGGAGACCCCACAGGGGAGTTTGCATGACTCAGCAGGATCCTTCCTCTTTTCCTAAGGACGCAGTTTAGTGAAGGAACCAGCTCCATTTGTCTGTTGGAGGATTTTTTTGGAAGGTTTAACGCTCCACGAGGATAAAAGCAGCACCGCCATCTGCAGGAAACACGACTGTTTGGTCCCTCGATGGTGAAGCGAGTGCCCCGATGACACTATCACTCCACTGCACGACAGCTCCATAGAAAATTCCCAGAATGCACTGTAAAAGGCAGTGAGCATCACCGCTCGCCGTGCTCACTGAGTGGAAGTGACATCACTGCTCTTCCACTTCAGCAGAGCTCGGGCGGAGCTGGAGTCGCTGTGCAGCGAGCGCACATGTGGCTGATGAAACTAATTCGAGCAGCGTCGATGTTTCTGAACGCGCTGCTTTTATTTCACGAGCTGCGACTTCTCCTCAGACGTGTCGCAGGGCCCAAACCCACAACAGCCCTGCCACAGCTTCAGCTTAGACATTTCAGATTGTTGTGTAGCCTACCGACATACAACAGGAGGGCAAGGTGCACCTAAGTGAAACCCAGATCAGACCCCCGCTGTAGGACAGCAGAGTAAGAAGGTGGATAAAAGTGGAGCGAGGGCAGAGCTGTGCGGATATTACATTTCACAGGTGACTTATTCTGCACCGCTGCATCACATTTGCAGTCGTAGGAGAGCGAACGTCATGATCACGGCTCCCAGGGAGTCATGTTGCAGATTCATTGGTGTCTCAGCGCTCACTGACGCAGGACTCAGGAAATACTATTCACTGTGCAGCGATGCAGTGGCTGACCCGGGGCGATCCTGCACGCTCTCACACTCCTGATCTCTGCTGGCAGCCAGAGAGTCCTGCATCTGTTCAGCTATCAATTATTTTAGCTTTCACGCAGTATTCGCACCATGCGTGAAACACAGAACCTTCCTTTCATAGTCCTGTTTCAAAATCCTTCCCGGTAGACACTCGCCCCGTGCTTTAAGTATTTACTGCAGTCTAATGAAGGAGAGGGGAAGGTAAACAAATGCAACACATTAGTTTGAGTTTGCATTTTTTTAAAATGCTTCAAAAAGGTTCAAATAATGAGCAGTAGTAGTGTTAGTCCGCTGTAAATGTGTCGGCTGTTGTCACGAATCACAGGAAAATTCCCCGAGGACGTCGTTCTCATCGCGTGTTTAAGCTCACTGCTTCGGTTTCTCTGAGACTGAAATGTGCAAACATACATGGAAATGCAGCAAATCAGGCAAAAGCAGTGTGTCCAAGTCTAACGAGCTGTAAAGTGAGCGTTTGGTGTGAACACCTTTATCCTTCAGCACAGACTGAACTCTGAGTATCTCCAGGAAAAGTTCTCCAGGCTTCTTGAAGGACATTCAAAGCATTTCTTTAGGTGTTCCTGCCTTTAGCGCTGCTGCTCCAGCACCACCTCTGGTCCCAGAGCTCCGCCCACAGTCCTTTCTTCAGATATTTAAGAAATGTGGTGCGATCGGCTAATAATTCAAACATTTTAAAACCAATAATCCTGTGCATATTTAAAAGGACAAAGCACATGTGCTCACTTTGTCCACGCAGTCATCTGTCTGTGACAGCAGGGAGCTGCTCTGAGTGAAATCTTCACCCAACCAACAGGTAACAGAAGCTACGTCCACCCGTCCACCTCTGCAGCCAGCACACCCACTGGAAACGCATGCTTAAGATGAGCTGTGGGTGTTTACTGCACCCAAGCAACCAAAACTGAAGCATTCAAGCACGTTAAGGGGTCGGCTGTAAACCGACGCACAGGTGCACAAAAACCTTCTCACACAGGGTTTAACTGAAAAAGGTTCCAGTGAGGACAACCATCATCATGTCTCTCTGTGCAGACATGCACACACACACACACACACACACACACACACACACACACACACACACACACACACACACACACACACACAGTGGATTAAAGAGGATGGAGAGACTGAGTGAACAAATAAAAAACTGTTTAACAAAAGTAAATCTGTTTATCAGAGATAGCGTGGAGCCGAGTGAGCCAACCTGGCTCTAAGCCCTGTGCGTGTGTGTGTGTGTGTGTGTGTGTGTGCGTGTGTGCGTGTGTGTGTGTGGTTGTGTGTGTGTGTCGTGTGTGTGTGTGTGTGTGTGTGTGTGTGTGTGTGTGTGTGTGTGTGTGTGTGTGTGTGTGCGTGCACGTACAGTATGTGTGGTACTGTGTGTTAAAAAAATCACTCTGGAGCTCTGATCCTCTGTATGATATGATGCTAAAACTGTTTTGGGGGAAAAGTGTGTTAAACAAAGAAAAGGTGTTACAAACACTGACTCGTTGCCGTTAAACTGATGTTTCTCTGAAAGGTACTTTTTATAAATTCCTGCATTTAAAATCGTTTAAACCCTAAAAATGAACTAAAGCTGCTAAAAGAATGTGAGCTTTGACCTTTTGTCCAGGACTTGAAGACACATCAGCTGAAGTTAAACTGGTGCTGACCCGGGCATTTTTAGCAAATAGTACCACATATTTTTATTTATTAAAGGTGTGTTTATAATTTCATAACTCCAAAATAGATGTTTTCATGAATATAAGAGTGCTTATTAAGAGTTTTCATCTTTAAAGATTGATCGGCTGTACTGATCGGTGGGGTGTACGTGTGTCAGATCTCTATCAGACCTCCACAGCCCCTCGGATGGATGAGTGCTACATCAGGACATGTTTGATGTGCTTCTAGGATTCCTGACAGCGTGCCCTTTAAGATGTGAACAATTATTATTGTTGTTGTTGCAGCTATTATTTCTGAAGTAGCTTTACTCTTTTTTCCACACAAATCATTTCCAGTTTTTCTCTTATCTGCTCTGCATAGTTTGCTTTTACCTATATTTGGTACTCATCCATCCTTCCATCCATCCATCCATCCATCCATCCATCCATCCATCCATCCATCCATCCATTCTTTAAAGCTGTGCAGAGAGTCTTTGAGCAGGAAAAAGAATCTGGAGTCCTGGGACTGAAGGACGGGCCAATTCAAAGTCCCGCTGAATGCTGCTGATCAGATCTGGGATTTAGTGGATTCAACAATGGATCGCACCAAAGTTTCATTAGAAATTAGGCTCTAGGAACAGCTGGGAAGTCTTCAATATTCAATAGCAAAACAGAAGGAAAACTACTTAAAACAATACTGATATCAAGGAAAACGAGGCCTTAAAAATACATATTATTCTTTGGTTATCATGTGTGAATAAGAACATTTTAGTAGTTTCAGTTTATCATACTAATAAATAATAATATGGCTGTTGTTTTAAACAACTGTTTGACAGATTTCTAAAATATTTAAGTAATGGATGCATGCATGGATGGAAGGATGGATGGATGGATGGATGGATGATGGATGCATGATGGATGGATGGATGGTTGGGTTGATGGATGGATGGATGGATTGATGGATGCATGATGGATGGATGGATGGATGGATGATGAATGGATGGATGGTGGTTGATGATGGATGGATGGATGATGGATGCATGATTGATGGATGGATGGATGGATGG